GGGGAAAACAGCAGCTTGTTTCTGCCACCCCCAAATATATGATCTCAGACAGCATCTTCTCTCTGAACGTCTCAAGGTGCCCTTTCGCGCAACAGCATCCCGTTCTCTTCAAATTTGGGGGAGGGGGTGGGGGCGCAGAAGGGTACCAAAAACCGAGGGGGGGGGGGAGAAGGAAGACACATAGGTCCTGGGGAGATGGGGTGGGGGGAGAGAAAGAGAGATAACCTTTTCTCCTAATTCAAGCCTTTAAAAACACAAAAAATGAAATGCACATATTTTTGCTACTGGCTAATTCGACTCCCAGACCTGGTGAAGGCCACCCCCCCTCAAAAAAAATCACACACCGACTCATTTTCTTCCTTTGGTGTTACTCAAGTGTCAATCCAGCTTCTTCCTCAAACAGCCCCCCCACCAACCTCCAAAATTTCTCCATACTCTACTCTCCTTGCCGGTTATGGGATGCAGAGCTTGATTTCAAATGTCTCTCTCCATCCTCATCCCCAGCCAGCCGGTCCTTGGGAGGGGGGGCACATTTGGGAAGGCGCCCCCCCTCCCCACCAGAGCCTTCGGTTGAAGAGGGGGCCCGGGGGGGTCTGCCCCCAAAGTCATTGCCCGATGGGAACCCCAACTTCCCATAACAACAGAAGGAGCTCAGGAAAGTCGTTCTTTCCTTGCATAGCTGCCCTAACATATCTCGCCCCCCCAACCCAACAAAATAACGAGGATAATAAATAATAATAATAACAGTAATAATAAGCCACGTATCTGGCAGGGATTAACAGGCACAGGTAATTGATACAGGAACGTTCCTCCACTTGAAGCTGCTGTGAAAAAGGGGGGAGATCACAAGCAAAACCGACACACCAAAACCTAGATATTGCCCCCCACCACGTCCTAAAACTTCAAAACTATTAAGAAAGGGGTGAGAGATCTTTTCCCTACACACATACACTTACAAGAACCAGACATTTGAAGATGATTGTTTGGGTTGGGTCAGCACCCCAAAATCGCTGGAGGGGTCGTCCAGCTTTACAGGGCCCCCCAAAATAATATATATATATATGTGGGGTAACTAGAAATGACCTGGGAGACCAGGATTCAAATCTCTACCCCCTTCACCCAGCCAAGAAGCTCGCTGAGTGTGGCCTTGAGGGGGGGGGCCACTCGCCATTTCTCTAGGCCTAGTCTACCTCACAGGGTTGTTGTGGAGATTAAAAGATCTTTAGCGGGGGGTGGGGAGGAGGTGGATATAGAATAAATTAAATCCGGGTCGGATTCCTGGCGCTGTCTCCAACATCAGGCCCTGCTCAGAGCAGACCGGTTGAAATTAGCGGCCCACTAATTTCAGCCGGTGTGCTCTCGGCAAATTTCTGCTGGCAAACAACCCTTTTTGGGGTCCTCTTCCAGCGTTAAAACCGATTGCAGCAAAAAAACCCCACCCATTTTGAAGGACATTGAAGGTGCAGTTAAGACCACCAAGTCGTCGTCCCCCAAACCTCATGGCTAGCTGCTTCCCCTCCTCTCTCCGCCCTCCCCCAACCTGCCATTTTTGGGTCTCCCCAAAGAGAGGTGGCGCTGTGGGTTAAACCACAGAGCCTAGGACTTGCCGATCAGAAGGTCAGGTTCGAATCCCCGTGATGACGGGGTGAGCTCCCGCTGCTCGGTCCCTGCTCCTGCCAACCTAGCAGTTCCAAAGCACAAAGCGCAAGCAGATAAATAGGTACCGCTCCGGCGGGAAGGTAAACGGCGTTTCCGTGCGCTGCTCTGGTTCTCCAGAAGCGGCTTAGTCCTGCTGGCCACATGACCCGGAAGCTGTACGCCGGCTCCCTCGGCCAGTAAAGCGAGATGAGCGCCGCAACCCCAGAGTCGGCCACAACTGGACCTAATGGTCAGGGGTCCCTTTACCTTTAAATAGTTGCCCAACTCCAGAGAGCTTCAAACTGACCATCCACAAATCCCAGAGGTGGAATCGGACACCAAGTGGGTGGGCAAAAGTCGATTTTCCTCTTTTAATGGTTTCAGAGAGTGAACCAGCTACCTTGGGTTGGAGGGGGGGGGTAACCAGGCTTACCCCAGGATGAGTTTTCTGCCTCTGGAAAGGTGACTGGCGGCTCCATAGCCCAGAAGACCCCTACCTTACTTCTCTAGAGGCCCACCTCCCACAGAGAGGCTTAAGAGGTGACCCCACACCTGCCAACGCCGCCCCCCCACCCCAGCAGAGCTTCCTGGAGTTAAATCAAGATTTTTGCAAAGTCATTTTCAGTGCAAATAGCATGTTCTGCACAGAAGGTCGCTCTGTGGAGCTGAACTCAATCAGGTTAAGGGTTTCAACCTTTAACATCTCACGAATATTTCCACACACACAAACACCCTTTGAAGGGGGGGCGACCCTCCAAGGTTATCCCAAGTCACTGGGCAGTGAGGATACTGACCACCCCACCCCACCCCATAGAAAGGCACTTTGCACTGCCCTTGAACCCTAAAGCACGTCCCCCTCCCCTCAAACCACTAGACGGTTGAAGAATCTAGAACCATCAAGTTGGGAGGGAACTCCAAGGCTCATCTAGTCTAGGCTCTGGGGAACCTCTTCCCAACCTCCCCCCCCAAAGATGTTCCTGAACTACAACTCCCATCGTCGCTGGGCGCTGATGGGAGTTGTAGTTCAGCGGCACCCAGTGGGCCAAAGGCTCTCCTACACACACACACACACACACACACACACCTTGCCTTACAGACCACAAGCAGTGGCCAAATTATACTGGCTGATTATTAACTTTGGAGGGGAGCGATCCTACAACAGACTTGCCTACGCAAGGGGAGGGGGGAGGGGGTTGCTTTCAAGTCGACGCGCATTGGATCTGGCCCCCCCCCCCAAAATCACTGCCTTGAACTGCCAACTCTTGTCTCCCCACCCCGAATAAAACAGAAGCTTTAAATCACTAAAGAGAGAGGTGCAATTTTGACCCTGTCTCCATTGCCCTGTTGCCTCCAAACTGGCCTTTCTCTGCTCCCTAGAAAAAGCCCCCCCCCTTACCCTGGTGGGAACTGCCTTTGAGACCCCCACCCTAAAGACTCCCCAGAGTAGATCCCCGGAGGAACCATAATAAGAAATGAAACGGGCGAGGAAATCTCCGTCATGGCTGGCTTACGGCACCGAAACTTATGAGCCTTACCCCTCAATGCTACCCCTCCAGGGTAGTTAACCTCGCCCGGCCAGCTCTGCCCCCCCCTCCGTTCCCTTCCTTAAATCACCCATGGGGGTGACTGGCGGTACAAAACATTCTCCACCACTTAGGGAGTCAAATTTCCATCTTTTCCACTGCTCACCCCCCCTCCAGAGGTAGTTACCCAGATTACTGCCACCAAGGTAGTTGCCCTCAAATAACCACCCTTCCTTTTTTGCTGATCCTCCACCCAATTTAACCCCCTAGATTTTGACTCGCCGGAAATCTCCTTGCGCCGTTCGATCGGCACACAGCCCTGGCCCATCTCGAACCCCGAGGTAGTTACCCAGGGGTTGCCAGGTTTTCCATGGGTTTTTGATTTTCCCCAAATCACAACAGGACCTTCCAGCAGGAAAAGTGATCCTTTGTCACTACCCCCCCACCAAGGATTTCTACCTCTCTCCCACCCCCGAGACCTTGCCACGGTGGGATCCAGCCCAGATTTCTCCACGACGCCTCAGCCACGCTGAATATCCCCCTCCGTCCCTAACTGAGGTAGTTTCTTTGGGTTAGTTACCCTGAGTTGCTCCTCCCTCAATTCGGGGGGGGGGAGGAGTGGGGGGAAAAACCCTTGCTAGGCCTGAATTTGCTGTGTGACAGATATATTCAAGTACATATTGTATAGGGTTTTCTGTCCCAAGACAAAGTAGTTACCCCTGAATTCTTTCCTCCCTTGCTGGAGGGGGCAGGCAGAGAATCCCTGACCTTGCCTAAAATTGCCTTGAGGCTCACTGTCAGTACAAACCAGAGGTAACTACCCTGCGGCAGTTACCCCCCTAAGTATGTTCCCCCCAAGTTTAGATACCCCAGGTCTCCCTCTGCTGCATACCCCAAAAAAGCGGCAGGTAGTTAACGCCCTACCCCCCAATATGTGTTACTACAAAAACCGCCTCTTCCCCCAAATCGCAAGGTAGCTACCCCCAAGGTGAGTTGGCCAAATTGCCTGAAATTCGCTGAAGTTGCTTACCCCCCTCCCAAAGAGATTCTCCCCCCCCTTAGATTTTCTCCCCCACCCACTCCGCCCCTACCCCCAAATCTCTGCAGGTAGTTCCCCCATGAGATGAGTTACCCCGTGGTGAGTTACCCCCGATCTACCCCGCTTGCCTGAAATCACTGCAGGTAGTTATCCCTGAGGCCATTTACCCCAGATCACCACCACCCAGTTCCCCCCAAATCGCTGAAGGTAGCACCCCCCAGGTGAGTTACCCCAGGGGTGAGTTACCCCAGGAGTGAGTTACCCCCAATCTACCCCACTTGCCTGAAATCACTGCAGGTAGTTATCCCAAGGCAAGGTAACCCAGACCCCCCCTTCCCTGTTTCTCCAGATCGTAGGTGAGTCACCCCAGGGGTGAGTTACCCCCGATTCCCCCCACACACACCTTCCCTGAAATCGCTGAAGGTAGTTAACCCCACGGCAAGGTAACCCAGACCCCCCCTTCCCTGTTTCTCCAAATCGCAGGTGAGTCACTTGCCTAAAATCCCTGTCGGTTTCTAACCCCTCCTGGCAAGGACAGTTCCCCTCAGGTGCTCCGCCTCTCTGCAGCTAGTACCCACCCCCCCAGGTGAGTTCCCCACACAGGTGAGGGCCAGGGGTCAAGGGGAAAAGGCCCAGTGGCTTGAAATCACTGCAGGTATGTATCCCCATGGCAAGGTAACCCAGACCTCCGTTCCCTGTTTCTCCAGATGGCAGGTGAGTCACCCCAGGTGAGTCCACTCCCACCCACACAGGTGAGTCCACTCCCCGGCTAGGGGTCAAGGGGAAGGCGGCCCACTCGCCTGAAATCGCTGTAAGGGTGGATGATCCAGGCTCCGGCCGACTTGACCCTCTCCTGCTCCCGCTCGACGGCCTTCTGCGAGCCGAACATCCGCAGCGAGAACTTGTTGACGCCGGGTTGGAGCATGGCGCTGAACTGGCGCTGCATGAAGCTGGCCTGGCTGCCGCCCGGCTCGCCCTCCGACGGAGCGCCCGCCGCCCCCGACGATGCCCCTTCCTCGGCCGCCTTGGGGGAGCCGTCGGCGCTGCAGGAGAAGGAGACCTTGGGCTGGGAAGGGGCGCCGGATCGGGGCCGCTGCTGACGCCCTCCTCGCCGCCCCCCCGGCGGCACTCTCCGTTGGGGGAGCCCCCCTTGCCGGCGCGGCTGCCCATGCCGCCTCCGCGCAGGGACAGCAGCCGCCCCTTCGAGGCCGGAGACGCCGCCGGGGAAGAGGACGCGGCCGGAGAGGCGCAGCCCGAGGATGCTGCGGATGCTGCAGTGGGCGCCCCGCCGCCGCCGCCGCCGCCGCCCGTCCGCATGCTGGACCCGCCGCGCAAGGCAGCACCACCGGCCCCTCGGCTGCTGCTGCTGCAGCGGCGGCGACGGCGGAGGAGACCGGGGAGGAGAGGCAGAGACGGGGAGGGGAGGGGGAGGAGCGTCGAGGCCCCGGGGAGGGGCTGGCTGGCGGGGGAGGGGGGAGGGAGGGAGGAAGAGGAAGGGGAAGGTCAAAGAGAGAGGGGGGGGACAAGGGCAAAGGATGGAGAGGGAGGGGAGAGAAGGGAGGGGGAGGTCAAGAGAGAGAGGGGGAGGAAGGTCAAACAGAGGGGGGAGGGGAGAGAAGGGGAGGGGGGAGGTCAAGAGAAAGGGAGGGAGGAAGGGGAAGGTCAAAGAGAGAGGGGGGACAAGGGCAAAGGATGGAGGGGGAGGGGAGGGAGGGGAGGTCAAGAGAGAGGGGAGGGGAGGAAGGTCAAACAGAGGGGGAGGGGAGAGAAGGAGAGAGGGGGAGGGGAGGGAGGTGAGAGGGAGGGAGGAAGGGGAAGGTCAAAGAGAGAGAGGGGGGACAAGGGCAAAGGATGGAGAGGGAGGGAGGGGGAGGTCAACAGAGGGGGAGGGGAGGAAGGTCAAAAGGGGGAGGGGAGAGAAGGGGGAGGAAGGTCAAACAGAGGGGGGAGGGGAGAGAAGGGGAGGGAGGTCAGAGAGAGGGGGAGAGAAGGGCAAAGGAGGGAGGAGGAGGAGGGAGGGGAAGGTCAAGAAGAGAGGGGGAGGGGAGGAAGAGGAAGGTCAAGCAGAGAGAGGGGGAGAGATGGGCAAAGGAGGGAGGGAAGGTCAAAGAGAGAGGGGGAGAGAAGGGCAAAGGATGGAGAGGGAGGGGAGGGGAGGGAGGGGAGGTCAAGAGAGGGGAGGTGGAGGAAGGTCAAAGAGAGGGGAGAGAAGGGCAAGGATGGAGAGGGAGGGGGAGGTCAAGAGAGAGGGGAGGGGAGGAAGAGGAAGGTCAAGCAGAGAGAGGGGGAGAGATGGGCAAAGGAGGGAGGGAGGGGAGGTCAAGAGAGAGGGGGAGGGGAGGAAGCTCAAACCGGGAGGAGGGGAGAGAAGGGGAGGGAGGGGGAGGTCAAGGGATGGGGAAGAGGAAGGTCAAGCAGAGAGGGGGGACAAGGGCAAAGGATGGGGGGAGAGAAGGAGGGCGTGGGGTCAAGAGAGAGGAGAGGGAGGTCAGACAGAGAGGGGGGAATGAGGGGAGTGTAATGGTAGGAATGATGGGCGGAAGGTCAAGAGAGAGGAGGGAGAAGGAGGAAAGGGAGGGAGGTCAGAGAGAAGGGGGAAAGGGAGATGGCGAAGAAGGTAAAGAGAGGAAGGAAGGAGCGAGAAGAAGGAAGGTCAAAGAGGAAGAGATGTGGTTAAGGGGGAGAAGGAAAAGAACTGGGGGAGAAGGTCAAGGGAGAGGGAGGAGAAGGACAGAGCAAGGAGTAACAGGAGGGAAGGAAAGAGGGAGGGAAGAAGGTTAAGCAGAAGGAAGGACAGAAAGAAAGAATAAATGGGAAGAAAGGAGAATGCCAGAGGAGGTGGGAAGAAAGGTCCAAAGTGCAGTGGAATGGAAGAAATGGTGCTTTTAAAAAAAATGGTGCCCGTAACCCAAGTTTGGGTGGCGCTGTGGGTTAAACCACAGAGCCTAGGACTTGCCGATCAGAAGGTCGGCGGTTCAAATCCCCGCGATGGGGGGAGCTCCCGTTGCTCGGTCCCTGCTCCTGCCAACCTAGCAGTTTGAAAGCACAAAGTGCAAGTAGATCAATAGGTACCGCTCAGGCGGGAAGGTAAACAGCGTTTCCGTGCGCTGCTCTGGTTCGCCAGAAGCAGCTTAGTCCTGCTGGCCACATGACCCAGAAGCTGTACGCCGGCTCCCTCAGCCAGTAAAGCGAGATGAGCGTCGCAACCCGAGAGTCGGCCACGACTGGACCTAATGGTCAGGGGTCCCTTTACCTTTACCCCAGGTTTAAGGTGCCATTGGGCGATTAGCTTATATATCCAAAGCCGGCTGGGGCAACTGTTTGGCTGCTGTGAGAGCAGGGTGCTGGACCAAGATGGAAATTCAGCCTCATCAAGCTGCCTCTTCTGATAGATTATGGAGGAGATTTCTGCCCAAATGTTTGGTCTGCCTCCGTGGGTTAAGACTGCGGCCTGATGCGACCCAGAATTTCCATGCCGACCCACCCGCCTCCCCAGGGCCACATTCTGCCATCGGAGACGCTTCTAATTTAGGCTGCCCATCCTCAAGAAAGAGGGCGAAATAGTATTAGTGTCACAGCCCATAATACTCAGGTCCCGGGATGCAGAGCAGCCTAATTTCATATGCAAATACATGAAGGCATTTTTAAAAAATGAAAATTAAGTGGAAGTGGTGGCTGGATGGGAATTAGGGAATCGGCTGTGCATATTTCGCTTTAGATGCAGAAAGCATTTCAGCCTTGCATTGGCCCTTAAAGCAGCTATTCTCGGGCTTGGGTACCCATTTTCCAGACAGCAAAACTGAGGGGAAGTGGCTTGTGCCGGAGGAGCAATGTTGACCTTGCTCTCCAGTTTATATCCTTGTCAGAACGGGAGTTTGCGTTCTGAAATCGGGGAGGTGTAGTGGTTAGATCCACCTTCCCTGACTGAACAATATCCAGATGTTTCGAGTTCAAGACGGGGATGGTGGCGGCTGCTGCCTGAAAATATCTGGAGTAAAGAACTAGGCTAGCTGCTCACATCCTCTCAGCCTGACCTACTCTGCAGGGTTATTGTGGTGCTTAAATGATGCGACAGGGTGGACACAACCAGGCAGTTCTCATTTAAGTGTACGGAAGGAATAAAAAATAATGTAGAACTTCATGAAATACATAGTTAAACTACGGAACTCACTCCTGCAAGCTAAAAAAAAGGTAAAGGACCCTTGACAGTTAAGTCCAGCCGCAAACGACTCTGGGGTTGCGGCGCTCATCTTGCTTTACTGGCCAAGGGAGCCAGTGTTTGTCCGCAGACAGTTTTTCCGGGTCATGTGGCCAGCAGGACTAAGCCGCTTCTGGTGAAACCAGAGCAGCGCACAGAAATGCCGCTTACCTTCCCGCCGGAATGGTACCTATTGATCTTCTTGCACTTTGATGTGCTTTCGAACTGCTAGGTTGGCAGGAGCAGGGACCGAGCAACGGGAGCTCACCCCATCATGGGGATTCGAACCGCCAACCTTACGATCAGCAAGCCCTAGGCTCTGTGGTTTAGACCACAGCTACCAAGCTAGAGGAATGTTTGAAGAAGGATTTTGAGCTCTAAGGCAAGTTTCTGCTCTATAACCAACCCTTAGCATTTGTTTTTATCCTCTCTCCCATTTCATTTCTTAACGCCTTTTAGTGCTTCGTTTTGTTGTTTTAATTTACAGCAGTACCTCGGGTTAAGTACTTAATTCGTTCCGGAGGTCCGTTCTTAACCTGAAAGTGTTCTTAACCTGAAGCACCACTTTAGCTAATGGGGCCTCCTGCTGCCGCCGCACGATTTCTGTTCTCATCCTGAAGCAAAATTCTTAACCCGAGGTACTATTTCTGGGTTAGCGGAGTCTGTAACCTGAAGCGCCTGTAACCCGAGGTACCACTGTATTGTTTTATCTCATTGTTTTATCGTTCTAACTCCCCTAAACTGTGAGGCTGCGTGAAGCTGGGCTGGGGCTGAGTACTTTGCTAGGCAGTGCCAAATTGAAAGAGCCAAAGTTTACAAGATACTAGTTATAAGTTAAGGAAGAGAAACGTCTTGATTATCACAGCTGTTGAAAAGAGATGGCTTTAAAAGAGATTATAGAATTTCAGGGGTGTTAGGCGAAGGGTAAGGACGCAGGTGGCGCTGTGGGTTAAACCACAGAGCCTAGGGCTTGCCGATCAGAAGGTTGGCGGTTCGAATCCCCGCAATGACAGGGTGAGCTCCCGTTGCTCGGTCCCTGCTCCTGCCAACCTAGCAGTTCGAAAGCACGTCCAAGTGCAAGTAGATAAATAGGTACCGCTCCGGCGGGAAGGTAAACGGCGTTTCCGTGCGCTGCTCTGGTTCGCCAGAAGCGGCTTAGTCCTGCTGGCCACATGACCCGGAAGCTGTACGCCGGCTCCCTCGGCCCGTAAAGCGAGATGAGCGCTGCAACCCCAGAGTCGGCCACGACTGGACCTAATGGTCAGGGGTACCTTTAGCTTTAGGTGAATGGTGGTACCTCTGGCAAAGGACACATCGTGCTCCTTAGGGGGTATTTTGAACATCTTTGGTCCCCACCTTGCAGTGAGCTCTCACCTGGGGCTCCTAGAAGCTGTCAGCAGGCAACAGCGGCCACAATCCGGGGGAAACGGCTTTGACTGGCCGGCTAAACCAGGTGAGGGCAGCTGATGAGACCCCTCAAACCCTTGGGGAGTTAGGGACTCCCCCGGCCCATGTAAACACAGGCTCTAGTAGGTTGAGCAGACAAGACAAAGAGTCGTCTAAGGACCCATTATGTAGAAAGGGGCTCCTCCGCCTTTGAAGGAGCTCATATAGAAGAAAGGCTCTAACCCTAAACCCTCTGCTGCCTTGAGAGGTATTTTCAGAAGAAAAGGCTCAGGAGTGTTGCAGGAATTTATGTATAGGTTGGGGGGGGTGCCCCTCCAGCAGATATCATGCACATGCAGCCCACTACCAAAACCAGCACAATCACTTTTGTGATTTGTCCCCACAAAACACCCAATCGCAGTTTCTTCCTATCTATTCAAAGGGCCTCTGCTGCACGATACCAAATGTAAGAATTCACTGATCAATGTATCCATGTACTGGCTCACTGGGGAAACTTCAGAAATTCATATAGACCTGTGAGCTCAGCTCCTCAGCAGCCCCTCTGCCTGAGTGATGATCCCTGGCCTCCTGATACCTGAGTGCCAGACGGGTAGCCATTCCAGAAATAACAAACCCAGATGAAGACAAAAGGGTGTGATAAACTTGGCTGGGAAACAGGGAAATGTAAAGATCTAATTTGTTTCACTTGATGGGT